TGAAAAAAAAGGACAGAGACAGAGAACGGACAGAGAGACAGAAAAAAAAAAGAGAGACAGAAAAAAAAAACAACTGAGAAGATACAAACTATTACCAACGATCTCAGCAGCAAAGAACCAGAAGAAAAAAAAAAAGAAAAGGAAGAAGAGACTTACCGAGGAAGCCTCGACCACCGATCTCGTCAAACCTTCGAAACACGAAGGTATTTTTGTAGATTCGCTACGATTAGAGCTTTTTAAGGGAAATAACACCGGGACCGTCCTTAGGACGGTCCGATCTATTATCTATAAAATATTTTTTTCCGCCACCGATGCGGTGGCCCGGTGACATTCACGGCGGCACACGGTGCCGACCGGTGACCGGCTTTCCCTCCGATGAGGGAAGCTAGAGAGAATGCAGAGAGTTTTAAACTCTCTCAGTTTAGAGAGAGAGAGTGAAATGAAAAATGAAGGCTGGCCTTGGGCCAGCCGGTTTGGACCATATATGTCATCCCGAACGACGTCGTTTCGGGAAGGACTGCGCGTAATTATAAAATAGTTAAACCCCGTCCGCAGTCCTCCGACTTGTAAACTTTACATTTTAGTCACTAAATTGAATTTATATATTTTTAATTCAGTCTTCGAATTTTAATTTCTTTATTTAGTCCTTCATATTAAAATAATAATTTAGGATAAATTACAGATTAATCCATTAATTTAAAAATAATATTTAATCCCTAGTTTATATTTTTAATTTATTTAATTCTAATATCCGAATTTTAGATAATTTTATTTTAGTCACCAAATAATAAATAAAATAACATATTTAATCCCTATAATTTGATTAATTATGAATTAGATTTTTATTTATTTTTATTGTAATTAGTCAGTTATTTTATAGTTTTCATTTATTTTATTGTTTTTAAATATATTTTTAGTAGTATTTTTATTTTTTTTTATTATATTGTTAAATATTTTTATATTCATAAAATATAATAATAGTATTTTTAAATATTTATTTTTAATCGAAGAAAATGACAGTCTTAAAAACTGGATGTCCTATTCTGATATTTTAAAATTAAAAAGTAAACAATATTATTTAAATAATATTTATCAATATCAAAGAAAGAGCTGTCTTAAGGCACCTAGAAATTCTTTTCGGATATTTTTAAATAAATAATATTTTTTATATAATTTTGAAATATAGAATTATAAATTAAATATATTTTTGAATTTTTAAAATTTTAATAATAGAGACAATTTATAACTAAAAAGTACCAATTTTGGGCGTTGTAGGGGTGCTAATCCTTCCCTAAACGTAACCGACCACGAATCCCTTTTTATTATTAAAAAGAACGAATTTTTGGTTATAAATGCAGATCAGTTCAATTTTTTTAAATTGATGTTTTTTTAATTTTTAGGTATTCGACCTACCTAACCCAAAAGGCCGATGGCGACTCCCAAATTATTTTCAAAACCATTTATTCACATCACTTTTCCCGCCAAACAATTAAATTCGTGCCCGGGCGAAAACTGGTTACGACACTAGTGGAAGAAAACTTTTATTTTTTTGAACTTGTCAAAAAACTTATTGAAATTTGTAACTTGAGTTTAACCTAGCAAGTTAACTCAGTATTTATAAGGGATTTCCAAGAGATATTTAATCCAACCAAATATCTTTCAATATTCAAATTTAAACATATAATAATATATTTTAATTTGAAATATTTAAAAGATAAATACACCTTTAACTATTCAAACTTAAATAGATAATATTTTAATTTGAAATATTCAAAAATATATAATCATCTTTAATATTAAAAGTTAAAAATGATAACAAATAACTTTTTAAATTAACATATTCAAAGAGTAATTATCCTACTAATATTCAAATTAAAAATATCTTTTAATTTTTCTTAAGAAATCATACAATTTAACATAAATAATTTAATCGTGTAAACCAAAAAGTAATACTTAAAAATATTTTTCACATCTAATTTGAGGCAGCAACATGACATATAAATATTGTTTTTCACAATAATTGAAACTGCCTAAAAACTACCTAAACATAAATCCATCTTTATGCTAATAAAATATATTTATACCATAATATGTATCAAAATTCATATTAAAATAATACAAACTCTTTTTACACGTATACATGCCAATTAGAAATTTAAAACAACAATAGGGTGTCATTACTGATACCGGTAAATAGTCTTCGATGATTGATGCTAAGCCTAGCTCCTTACTCCACTCACTTCTTTTACCTACGTGTGAAAATAATCACACACTAAGTATACACTTAGTGAGGCAATTTCATAACTATATTAAACAAAATAAGGCATATCAAATTCTGAAACATCATAATAATCAAATAAACATAGATATCATATAAAATATATATGTCATGTAAAATGAACCTTTTAAAGCCATTTTTGTCAACACCTAACCTGCACATTTCACATATTCCAGTCATAACCCAATGTATATCAAATGAGAATGAATGATATATAAGTCAGACGAGTGTGCACAATATGTAGTCAAACTACCACAAATGTCATATGCACTTTAAGTGCTACACGAGAGCATAGGTACTATAGAACACATATCACTATACTAATAATCGGGATGGTAGGTCACACATCAAAATCTCATGAACACTATAACTGCACATATCGTGCCAGGAGTATACAAATCTATTAAAACATGAGTACCCAAAGGTACTAATACAAGAGAGCACAAATGCATTATTACTGGAGTGCAACAAGGTACTAAAATAAGAGTGCAACAAATGAACTAATACTGGAGTGCACGAATGCACTAAACATAATTTATCGATAAAATCTCTACCTAATGACATGCCAATTATACCAAAGACTCTCAATGCACATACAATGGGCTATTATATAAGATTCATAAACCATTAATTTATTAGGAGTATTCATAGATACTAACATATCAAATATCATATAAACGTGCATTGGGCAGTTCATACCCTATACCTTTCATTTCCACATAACATAAGTAAATCATTGTTGAACTATATTTTGATATAAAAATTAAGGCAAAATGTTTTTGGACTTGAATTGAATTTATTCAAAGTTTTTAAAAATAATTCAAAGTCCATTTGTAAGTGGAATTGAGCACAAAACGTTTTTCTGGACAAGTAGTATCGATATTGTTCTTACAGTATTGATACCTCATGAACAGTATCGATAATGTTCATATGGTACCGATACCAAAGGTAAGGGAAGTATCAATACTCACTAGGTGGTATCGATACTACTAGCATTTCTCAAATTCCAAAATGCAAAAATGGTACTGATACCTAAATGGGTACCGATACTACTCTACATAGTAGTATCGATACCATGAGCATAATATCGATACCATCAAGCCCCAACGGCTAGTTGATTTAAATATAACAAAGTTAGTACCGATACTCCCTTTAGGAATACTAATACCCTCTATTCTAGGCAGCTTTATTTTAAACAAAATTTGATCCCCAACGGCTCCAAACCACTCCCAACAGCTACAAATGGTCATAACAACATTGCAACATATAAAAACAAGTTAAGGATACTTGAAGAAGGGTTAGAAAACCTATCCAAGCAATCAAACACAAGAGAAGAGTTTTTTATTCTTATTTTATCTCTCTTCTAAATATTTATGTTTTAGTCAGCTAAATTCTTGTAAACACCCTATCTTTGAGAAGATTATTTGTTTACTTCTTTTTACCTTTTGTAAAGGGGTTTTGGTTCTATCTTAGCAAATTCAAAAGATAAGGAGTTGTAAAGGTTATCTCTTTATCATTGAAAAGGAAAGAAAAAATTAGTGAATTTGTTAGAAAATCCTTAGTGAGGAGCTAAGGTAGTGGATATAGACTTGGTTGATAAGTCGAACCACTATAAATTTATATGACAAAATTTTCTATCTTTTGCTCTCCTTACTCCTTAATCAAATTATTATCATTTAACCCCCTTTTGTAATTTTTGTTTGTTCAATTGAGCCTCTTCAAATCATAAAAAGTACTATTAGAGCTTGACTCATTAGAAAGTTTAACCACCTTGAGATGATCCTCAAAGAATCTCTACCGATTCCCGACACAACCGACAAATAAATGGCTTCAACCTTTGGTGCCTACTATATTGAAGATTAACAACCGGTCAACAAGCCTCTCTACTTCAATCGAGAAAATTATGCCTATTAAAAGAATAGGATGATGTTCTTTATTCAAGCCAACGGTCTAGGAGCTTGGAACTCTATCATGAAAGGCTACACCATTCCAACCAGTGAGATGGATGATTAGAGTGATGGAGAGAAGAAGAAGTTCCAACTCAATGCTAAGGCTATGCACATTCTCTTTTGTGCATTAGGCCTAAATGAATATGGAAGAGTTTCCTCTTGTTCCAATGCCAAGGAGATATAGGATAAGCTCCAAGTCACTCATGAAGTAACCGATGAAGTGAGGGAAACCAAGATAAGTCTTCTCAACCATAGCTATGAGAATTTGAAGATGAAACACGATGAAGACATCAAAGTTATGACGAATAGATTTTCCCTAATTGTCAATGGTCTCAAGGGATTTGGAGAAGTTATCTCCAATGAGAAGCTTGTGAGGAAGATGATATATTCTCTTCTAAATCCTTGGAAATCGAAGAAGACTGCGATTAATGAAGCTAGATATCTAAAGTCTCTCACTCTCGATGAGTTGATTGGTTCTCTTCTTACTCATGAGTTGATGGTAAATAAAGAGGAAGAATATGAAGAGAAGCAAAACAAGAAGAAGAAGGAGGTAGGCATTGCCTTTAAGTCCACCAATGAGAGCTATCAAGATCAAGTGAAGAAGTGAATGAAGACGAAGAAGAAGAAGAGATGGCCAAGCTCTTCAAAAAGTTCAAGAGATTTATGTCTTCCAAGGAAGTGAAGCATGAATCAACCAAGAAGAAGGGTCCCCCGTTGTGCTTCAATTGTCAAAGAATGAGGCATGTAAAGTATGAATGCCTCTCCCAAAGAAGATGGGATCATCAAAGAAAATGGAATTTTTGGAAACTTGGAGTGATGAATATGACTCCAATGATGAAGATGAAGTAGCCAACCTATGCCATATGGCCATCGAAGGAGATTCAATGGTATCTTCTAACTCAAATGATTTAAATTCAAATTCTTTTGATGAGTTACAAGATGCTTATAATGAGTTGTATTTGGAATTTGAGACCATAAATTCCAAATATAAGAAATTAATTACAAAACTTAAAGTTGAAAATGATGTGATTTTAAAAACCAAAGTTGATTTTGAAAACTAAAATGAAATTTTGAAAAATGATTTAGAGTTTTCAAAAGCTAAAATCAATGATTTAGAGAAAGAAAATTTTGATTTGAAAGTTAAGTTTGACAGCTTAACAAAAGAAAAAGATTTAATTTCTCAAAACAACTCATTATGTTTAAAAATGGAAAATGTTCACATTGTCATTTTTATGGTCATTAGGAACATACTTGTCCCATAAAGAAAAGAAAATCTTTTAAAATTAGACAAGTATGGGTTCCTAAGGGAACAAGGGGTATTGAAACTAACGTCCAAGGATCCAAAGCAATTTGGATACCAAAATTCAAATAAATGTCTCTTGTAGGTGTGTCGGAGCAATGGTCATGAAAATGAAGAAATCAAGAGGCTCTAGCCACACTCTAAAAGGAATGGGTAACCTCTAAGCTTAAAAGCTTTTTATTTTTGCATAATTGGTTGCTTATTTGATTTATGCATGCATGAGTTTTGATTTTAAATGATTATGCATTATTTTTTAATCTCATGCATGTTGAAAAGTATTTTATGATGAACATTTTAAATTTTTCATAATTTTTTCGTTCATCATAATGAATTTTGGTCAAAATTGATTTTCAATGCAAATGATATCTTTCTAACAATTGATATCAACTTTTCAAATGCTTTGATTTTACAAATTTTAAATTTTTGACCTAAATTTAAATGTTTATGCATGTGTTTTAAATGTTAAAGACATCTCTCTAAAAATTGATATCAGATTCTTCAAATGCATAACATTTTTTAAAGCTTTATGCATATATACTTAATTTCAATTATTGGTATTGCATAAAGTATTTTAGACTTGGATATATTGAATTTCATGTGCTACTAACATGTTTGTTACTCTTTGTTGAAATTCAATTTTGTATAAATGTCAAGATTTTAAAGCTATTTTTTGTTTGGAATGCACTTTTTTAGGGGAAGCTTTTGATTTTTCAAATGATTTTATGATAAAATTTAACACTTACTCTCCAAAGTTATTTTAGAACTTTAAAGTTGAATTATTTTTTATATAAAAAAGGGGGAGAAGTATGGGTTTGAAAATTTTAATTTTTTAATGAAAAAGGGGGAGTTGAACATTTTCACATATTTTTAAAAAAAATTGATATATTTTTCATTAAATATTTTACTAACGGGGAGTTTTGCCAAAAATAAATTTTCAAATGTTTTGTTATATCAAAAAGGGGGAGATTGTTGAAGTATATTTTTATATAACAATTAAGGCAAAATGTTTTTGGACTTGAATTGAATTTATTCAAAGTTTTTCAAAGTTTTCAAAAATAATTCAAAGTCCATTTATAAGTGGAATTGAGCACAAAACGTTTTTCTGGACAAGTAGTATCGATGTTCTTCTTACAGTATCGATACCTCATGAATAATACCAATACTGTTCATATGGTACCGATTTCAAAGGTAAAGGAAGTATCGATACTACCAGCATTGCTCAAATTCCATAATGCAAAAATGGTACCGATACCCAAATGAGTATCAATACTACTCTACATAGTAGTATCGACACCATGAGCATAGTATCGATACCATCAGGCCCAAAGGCTAGTAACGGCTAGTAACGGCTAGTTGATTTAAATATAAAAAGGTAGTACCGATACTCCCTTTAGGAGTATCGATACCCTATGTTCTGGGCAGCTTTATTTTTGCACGAAACTTGATCCCCGACGGCTCCAAATCACTCCCAACAACTAGAAATGGTCAAAACTATATTACAACATATAACAACAAGTTAAGGACACTTGAAGAAGGGGTTAGAACACCTATCCAAGCAATCAAACACAAGAGAAGAGTTTTTCATTCTTATTTTATCTCTCTTGTAAATATTTGTGTTTTAGTGAGCTAAATTCTTGTAAACGCCCTACCTTTGAGAGGTTTATTTGTTTACTTCTTTTTACCTTTTGTAAAGGGGTTTTGGTTCTATCTTAGCCAATTCAAAATATAGGGAGTTGTAAAGGTTATCTCTTTATCCTTGAAAAAGAAAGAATAAATTAGTGAATTTGTTAGAAAATCCTTAGTAAGGAGCTAAGGTAGTGGATGTAGACATGGTTGATAAGTCGAACCACTATAAATTCTTATGCCAAATTTTTCTATCTTTTGCTCTCCTTACTCCCTAATCAAATTATTGTCATTTAACCCCCTTTTGCAATTTTCGGTTGTTCAATTGAGCCTCTTCAAATACTAACAATCATGGAAACATCATTTATAACTTTCCTTTTTAACATATACAGATCATATTCAACATGTAATAATATCATAACTATCATGCAAATGTAATGAATTTGGCTCATTTCAAACATTTAAGGTAGCATATAACATAAGAGTATCATAAAAAGCATAATTTATGACAAACTCCATATATTGGCAGTTTGTGCTACCCTCAAAAAAGTATTATTTTGTATTAATCTACACACTTAAAAAATATTCCATTTATACCAATGGAAACTAGACTCGAATAAAAATCTAACCATATAAGGAGCTTCTTATAGTTCAATTTGCACAATTTATAGTGAATTTTCAAAGCTAACTCACTGAAGTTGTTTTAAGCAGAAACTGTTGTCCAATTTTCTGACCTATCATTGATTAAAAATTCATATCTTTTTGTAAACTCCTTGAAATTAGTAGCTGTTTTTAAAAAAAAATAAACTGATATATAAATCCAAAGATATAATAATCATCTTCTACTCGTTTCTGTAGAATTTATGGTGATTTTCTAAACTTACCACTAGATCACAAATTATTTCACTAATTTGTATTTCTAGCTTATATACTAATTCTATTAGCTTACCAAATGGACATATATGCATGAATCACCAAGCCACAAAACATCAGGAGTCATCTCTTACCATAGTAACTTCATCACTGGCTCATCGCAAGCTAATGTTTGCTCGATAACACAAATACAAATTAAGTATGCACTCACCTGGTGTTTTTAGCTTGCAAACCTCCCTTAGAAATTCACGTTCATCCTTAAGCTTCTCCTTAACTCTAACATTTCTTGATATTTATTTCAATAATAATCTAAATGAACATCATTAAAGACACATACATTTCAAACCACATGTAAGAATGTCACTAACATAGGCACACAATAGATAATAAATTCCTAAAAACATTTTGATGCTCATTCAATAGAAATTTCATGTCATAATATAAATGTTGACCTTAACACTTCAAGTTGATCATTCAAGTCCTTTTTTATCCAAATTCATCAAAACTTCACATAACATTTTCATCTTTACATTTTAACCACTAATTATGAATTCTTTTGGAATTCATCTATACTTTTCCAATTTATGCAAAGTGGTCATTTGCCATTTAACTTCCATTCACGCTTTAATTAGCATAATTAAAAATTCCAGCATAATACCTCAACAATTAAATTTTTTTCACTTAATTCACTAACTTTCCCATATTTGCAATTTGGTGCTCAAATTTTGTTATCTTTCAAAAATAATTCAATTTCACATTATAACTTCAATTTCAACTCTCTAACATTAAATTCCAGCATAATAAAGCATCTATTGAACACTTACAAATTAAACCCATAACTTTTCATAATTACCAAATAGGTTACCCAACTTTAAAAAATTACAAAATGGTCCCATTAATTTTCTAAGGCTTGTATAACCTTCCAAACATCATTTCTAAACCTAGGGAAATATTTCAAAATTTTTCCTGAATTTTTTCCTTAGGTCCAAACAATATATAGGTTAGGATTCAATGATTTTCACTTTATTCGAGTATGGATTCAACCTCTAAACAACATTTCAAGCCTCCTACAATTAAACGCCTAACCTAATTTAACCAAATCACAAACTTCCCAAAACCTAGGTTTAGGTCGAATTCAAGAGATTAAATTTTAGATGGTTTTAAACATCAAACAAGCTTGGAAATGATTCTACAACATCAATAACCTCAAAATCCATCATCATTTCATAAAACCCTAGCATCTTCTTCATCCACCAAATTTGGGAACTAAGCATTTCAAGCAAGATTAGCATGCAATATTGGTACCAAATGATAAAGCTATTCAAATAGATCAATTTCTTATTTCACGCTTTAATCCCAAAACTAAAGGAAATTGCTCAAAAATGAAAAATAAATTTTCTCATACATACAGTTATGGCTTATGGCTACAAGGCTTGAAGATGAACAAGTCTTCATGAAATTTCTAGTTGATTTCATGTTAATTTTTTCATTTATTAAGCTTAAATGAATTTAAAATTTATTTAATGGGAAATGACAATTTCACCCTTAATAAAACTTGAAAATTACAACAATAGATTGTAACAAGTTAATTATCATCTTCCAAAGTCAAAGATCAACTAATTATTTTTCCATTTACAACTTTAACCATGCACTTTTCCAAAAAAATCGATCTTGTCATTTTCATCTAACGGTCCAAAATGAACATGGAAATAAATTCTCAAATTCAATGATCTATATTATTTTCCATCATTTTAAAATGTGGAAATAATATTTATAAGCTTAATTTAATATCCTTCAAATGTTCTCAAAATTTATATTTGATCCGATTTACCGAATTTTTACCAGACTTTAACACTTTCTAGCTTTTAACACAAATTCTAGATAAAAAATTACATAACTATTCATTTACGAGGTTAAAATACACAACTTTTGAAAATTACACTTTGGTCCCCAAACTTTTCCCAATTTTATACTTTGGTCACTAAACTTTAAAAATTTATATTTTGGTCACTAACCAAAATTTGAGGTATTAAAGAACGTGAACATTGAGATGAACCAATGGGTGCTGGTAATGACACCCACGGTAACTTGGACGATGATAAGTCAAGTAAAAACCGAGTAGATAGAGAGAATGTAATGCCCTGAACCCATGTTAGTAGTTTCGACTAAACCGAGAGGGTTTAAATAAACCCACAAGACTTGTAGGGAATCTTGGTGCAATTGGGTGTTGGTTTGGGCTTGGTTTGAGCCCAATAGATGAGAAAAATGATATTTTTTATTTGAGCTTAAAGTTAGAATAAACAAGGGAGTAATTATACCAGTTTTATTTTAAAAGGACAAAACCCCATTAAGATTGATAATATCACATCTGAAACCTTCCTCCTATTTCAATTTCTTCATTTTTTTCGTCTTCTTCTTCCATCTTAACCTCCATTGTTCCTCCTTGTTCTAAGATAAAGGTTTCAACTTTGTAACCTTACAAACTTAACCTAGAATCACCAAGGTAAGAATTGAAATCCCCTCATCCTAAGATATCTTTCAAGCTCAAAAACTCAAGGTTTGACCATGATAGCCATAGATGGGGGGTTTTGGTGGTGGGAGTTTAGGAAACCTTTATTTTTTAATTCATTTTTGGTAGATTCAGGCCTTAGGGAGTATTCTTAACTTCATTATAAGTTTCTAAATAGGTTAGTAACTTATTTTCCTTGTTATGATTAATGAGAGGGATTGGAGAAAGTTCCTAAACCAAGGGAAAGAGAAAGTTGGTTCTTGGTTAAATAAGGACATTTTTTCAATAGCCTACCACCAATGTAACATACTTATAACTCAGCTCTACCACCTATAATCACTAGATGTTTTTTTGGTAGTTTGCATTAGTTATAAAGCATGTAAGCATGCTTATGGTAGATTTAAGTATTTGATGTTTTAACATGTTTAATGGCTTATCATGACCCCTCTTAACATAAATAAGACTTAACTAATGTTTAGGAACCTTAGTGGGACTTCTGAGGAAAATAAAGTGTTATTTTTGTGCCCAAACAAGGTATTTCTGGGCTTGAGTATCAATACTAGAAGAAAAATATAGATATTTTTCTTCAGTTAGACTAAAACAAGTAGATTTTTGGCTCGGAGTATCAATACTTGCTCATCGGGTATCGATACTACAGGTTGGCTATCGTTACGTGCAGAAGGGTATTAATACTGAGTTCACTTTGTAGATTCCAATAGCTCATTTTGGTATCAATACTCATGGGAGTACCGATACTGAGGGTAGAGTATCGATACTAAATTAGACTTCATATTTCAGTAGCATCTTTTGGTATCGATACTACCCAATTATCTTAGATTCTAGTAGACACTTTTAGTATCGATACCAAGGATGGGTATCAATACTCAAGGGTCAGTATCGATACTGAGGGGCTCAGTATCGGTATCAGCTTACAATTTTGGGTAAGAAACCCAATTGATTAAGGGGTTAGAAATGAGGGCCCAATAACGCCAGAGAGACTCCTAACTAAAACTACAAGTGGAAATATAAATAAATAATATAGTTGCAATTAGAAACGATAATAGCAAGGATATCATAAAACTAGCCTTTGTGTGACGGTCCAAAAAAGTCAGGACACCCGAGTTACCTTATTAGTATGGTGATCATCTTGCTTGTTATAAATATCCAGATATATCTCAGTTAGTTCCGAGGCACTTCAGTTGCTAGCTGGGTACAGATGCTCCAAGATTATCAGGAGTGAGATAGCCAAGTGTACATTTCCGATGCAGTTTCAGATGTCACCCTGATAGCCAAAGGTGTCTTAGGTAGGCTAGAGGGGTGTGTGTTCAGAGATACAAAACCCTCAACCACACCATGATGCCTACACCATCTTTGCATGTTAGCATCCCTATATGCCCGTACCTATGCCACTAGCTTCCTCATGTATTGAATGTATGTAGTACAATACACTTATTAGTTGGCACTAAGCTTAAGATCTTAGTGTTCGCAATGTGTTTCTGTGTGCATGTTCTTAGAAGACAATTCGTGGAGCGTTATCATCACCAATAGTCTCAGATCAGCCGAGGCTTCAGAGTACGTCTTTAGTCATATTTAGAGGGTATGTACTATTTGTAAACCCCTTTATATTCAGTTGTAACTCTATTTTGTTTTTAACACTATATTATTGGGATGTATCTTAGGAGCTCTCTGTATCTTTAAACTTGAGTATTATGTTTTTGTTTTATAACTTCGATGGATGGTTTTCTTATGATGCTTTATAATGGTTGATTTAAAAGAAAAATTTTGGGTTAACCACTTCGGTGGTCTCGTGTGATACCTTAATTCATCAATCTTTGGGTCAGACTAGATTAGGATGTCATAGAGAATGGTTTGAGCTGTTAAAACTTGAAAAGGGAAGAAATAACAAAAATTGAAAAAAAGGTATTTAAATACCCTAAATCTAGAGTTAGTTACACAATAAATCTTTACACTTTTAGAGAATTTATAAACCAATACCAACATTTAAAATGTTTAAAATTTAACCCCATTATGGGATATGACATGTTTAGTCAAGAAAATTCTTTTTTTTTTTTTGAGTTCTAAGAATGCTACACTGAAAAATTGTTTTCGTTATCTACTTGGGAAGCAAAGAAAAATTTGTTTAAAAAAAGCCATCCACTTTTAATAAAATCAAATTAACTAGAGGCAATTCATTGAAGGTAAGGTCACAATGATGAATATACTTCCAAGGCTTTGTTGAATAATCTGGATCGACTCGGATCGTACTCCTAGTTTTGATGGGTGAGTCTCCCAGCGGTGATTTTTTTGCATACAAAGGACTTGAACCTAAAACTTTGCTTAAGCAACATCAAGCTTTTTACCACTTGAACCGACCCCATTTAAAATTTATATCTGAAGTCAAAATATTATATCTGAAGTCGTCAATATAACTGATGTGTATGCAGAATGGTTAGCTATTGAGAATTCCACTCTTTCATCATTGTTAAAATAAAGCATAGTCATCAATATTCCATGACACGCAAATAAATTGACTCAATCCGATAGAGAGAATAAAGAATTGTTATAGAGCTCCATGACACGCAAACTTATGAATTTATTAGCAACAAAAGCCATGGCTGGCAAGTCCATTTAGAAATTATATATTCTTCTAATAATGGGTTTTTTGTTTTCTTAATTATATTATAATGGCAAGTCAAATAAAAAATGTGTAACACCAAGTCTCAGAACTTAAAGTCTTGAACTATTTTATAATATCAGAGTTTGTAAACTACTTATGTTGCACTCTAGTTCTTGTTGATGAAAAAAGCATTCTCAAATACAAACTGTTTCATGTTAATGGACCTCTCGAGAAAATTTGGGAGTGTTCCGCTCCCTTTTCCTTGTTTACGTTCATGTTCTAATTCTTTTCTCGTTTTTCGACTTATTTGTCGTAGCCAACCATGTAGTTAGAGGAAATGGAACTGATCAACAAGCTTTACTCCAGTTCATAGCTATGATAACCGGTGATGAGATCAAAATTATGGAGTACTGGAATAGTTCCATTCACTTTTGTCAATGGCATGGTGTTACATGCAGCCGCAAGCATCAGAGAGTACCAAGTTGGACCTGCAATTCCTTGGACTCTCGGGATCTTTATCACCATACACTGGAAATTTAAGGTTTCTCAGAGAGTTAATCTTGCTGACAATGGCTTCTATAACTATATTCCTCAAGAAATTAGTTGTTTAAGAAGATTGGAAACTTTAGAATTGACTAATAACTCCATCAGTGGCGAAATTCCTTCCAATTTATCTGCTTGTTCTAAGCTTACGTTTCTTAATATAAGAGGCAACCAGTTAACCGGAGAAATACCAGCTTCGTTGAGCTTCTTGACAAAGCTGAAATTCATGGGTTTTGGCACAACATTTTGAGAGGAAGTATCCCACCTTCGTTGGGGAACTTGTCATCCCTGGAGGTACTTGCTTTGATGGTGAATGGATTAACTAGGACTATGCCTGAATCTTTGGGGCAGTTAGCAAATCTATCAGGTTTCTCCATAGCCGGAAATGCAATATCTGATGTTGTTCCTGTTGCAATGTTCAATCTCTCAAACATCAGAGCCTTTGATATTGGTGCAAATAATATTCAAGGTACCCTTCGTTATGACTTAGCAATCAATATGCCATATATTGAGTTCTTTTCCATATCAAGAAATCCAATCTCCGGACAAATCTCGGTTTCTATATCCAATGCCTCAAATCTCAATATACTTCAATTTTATGAGAATAGGCTAAGCGGAAATGTGCCTTCTTTACAAAAGCTAGATGAACTGTCTATACTTCTCCTATACCAAAACCATCTGGGGCATGGGATAGAAGGTGACTTGAACTTTCTCTGCACTTTATTTAACAATACCAAACTAGAAGATCTATAAATAAGCCAGAATAATTTTGGAGGTGTACTTCCCAAATGCATTAACAATTTTTCTAGCACCCTTTCAGATTTTGTAATAGAACAGAACAAAATTTCAGGAAGAATACCAGAGGGGATAGGAATTCACATGAATTTAGAGGTGCTAGCAGCATCACAAAATCAACTATCAGGTCCCATTCCCATTGATATTGGGAAGCTTCAAAAGCTAAAGATATTTTCTTCCTACATTAATTCTCTCTCTAGGAGCATTCTATATTCTATAGGAAATTTAACCATGTTAATTCAACTTAATTTAGATGTTAACATTCTTCAGGGAAACATTCCTTCGTGTCTAGGAAACTGTCAAAATTTACTTGCAATGAATATTTCTCAACAATTTTAGTGGACCAATACCCCCTCAAGTACTTGGACTCCCATCCCTGTCCATCATTTTGGACTTATCATCAAAACATTTGACTAGCGATCTTCCTGCTGCAGTACAAAATATGAAAAATCTAGCTGAATTTCACGTTTCTCAAAATAGGTTATCTGGTTTGCTTCCGAACAACCTCGGTAGTTGTGCAAGTCTGGTGAAGTTTTTCTTGGATGGCAATTTGTTTGAAGGGTCCATTCTATCTTCTTTGAGTTCATTAAGAGGTCTTGAGGCATTGGATGTATTTAACAACCATCTTTCAGGCGGGATTCCAGAATTTCTAGTGAGCTTTGGGGCATTAAAGTATCTAAATCTCTCTTTCAATGATTTTGAGGGAGAGATACCAACTGAAGGAGTATTTAAGAATGCAAGTGCTACATTCATTGCGTGAAATAACAAGCTTTGTGGAGGAATCCCTGAGTTACACTTATCAAGATGTAACTCAAAAACCTCATCAAAAGCTTCTCTTGGATTCAAATTTGCAATTGTTGCTGTGATTTTGGCAGTGACTTTGGTTTTCACTTGTCTATTCCTCATGTGGTTTAGAAAGAACAAAGAGAAACAACCAACAACGACATGTGAAGAAAATTCACTTTTACCATTATCGTAACAAAGAATCCTAAGGGCTACTGATGGATTTTCCATAGAGAATTTGGTTGGTTCAGGAAGTTTTGGTTCTGTATATAAAGGGATTCTTGAAGACAATGGAGAAGTTATTACATTAAAGGTGTTTCATCTTTTGAATCGTGGAGCTTCCAGGAGTTTCTTGACTGAACGCGAGACCTCGAAAAACATTAGACACCGAAATCTTGTCAATATATTAACATCCATTTCAGGTGTTGACTACCAAGGTAATGATTTAAAAGCCTTGGTTTCTGAGTTCATGGAAAATGGAAGCTTGGAGGATTGGTTGCATCCATTTGTTGGCATGAATGAACCACAGACAACGAGAAATCTGAACTTCATGCAAAGCGTTAATGTGGCCATAGATGTTGCTTATGCACTGAGTATCTACACCATCATTTCTACACCATCATTGTGAAACAACTGTCATTCATTGTGACCTCAAGCCAAGTAATATTCTACTCAATGAAGAAATGGTTGCCCAATATTAGTGACTTTGGCTTAGAAAAAATCATTTCTGCAGACATGCTTAACTATTCTGGAAATCAATTCAGCTCCCTTGGATTAAGAGGAACTATTGGTTATGCACCACCAGGTATTTCTTTCATAATTTAAAAGCAACACATACAATCTATAGTAGTTTGTCTTATATTTGAATGTAAGTGGCTATTTTCATATTTTTCAAACATGTTTTTGCAATTATTTCTAGATGTAATTTTTTATGAATTAAATGTAGAATATGGCATTGGAAGCGAATTATCAATGAAAAGTGATGTGTATAGCTATGGCATCCTCTTGCTAGAGATATTAACAGGGAAAAGGCCGACTAGTGAAAAGTTTAAAGAAGGTGAAAGTCTTCACAACTTTGTTAAGGAAGTTTTTCCTGAACGAGTAACTGACATTATAGATCCAATTGTTCTGGGAAAGAGTATTAGAAAAGGAACAATAGGTGACATTTCTCTCAGTAGAAACAACCTGGTAAATAACAGACATCTTCAATGCCTGAATTCGACACTCGAGACAGGACTCACTTGTTCTTCTAATTCACCGAGTGAGCAGATTGACATGAGTAATGTTGTTAATAAGCTTTGTTCCATTAGAGACGAGCTTCAACAAACTCAATCACGTCAAGTTCAAATTAAATATGCTGCTTAATCAACAGGTAATGGTATCTTCTTATCTTAACAAAATAATCTATCATTTCATCAGTTAAGGCACATTCCGGTACTCTTGAGATAAATATTGTGTTTAGATGATAAGAAGTAAATGAGATTTCCTTTTTTTCTAAGTTGCAGGTATAAAAGGCAAGTAATGGAAGCTTTGTTTTTTCTTCTAGTGACAGTTGGTGTAACCCCCTCAGACCGATGCGGATAACCCGATCCAATCTGGAGTGTCACATTAGGGCCACCTGAGCGACCCACCGTAAAAATAGTGGAAAATTTAAATTTTTTCTTAAAACATGTAAACTCATAAAATGATTTATTATTATTCAGAAATAAAATAGGTTTTCCAAACTCAGATATAAAACAAAATACAATCTACATGCCCCCTAATCACATGTACCATACTCTGCAAGCAACGCCGGAAGAACTCCCTTGCTGATGTTGATAGTTGCAGCGGTACAATTATTTTAACCTGCAATGGTGAGTAATAGAGTGACCTTCGAAAAGCTCAGTAATACAGAACTACCAAGTGATGCTAAAGGACATGCAAATAAATGAAAAGCCATATAGTTTCCTTCTTGAATCAGACGTATACAATTTTTTAATAAATCTGAGGTTCCACTAGTAGTTCATCGATTTGAAGCCATGAAGATCACAGTTCGTAGGAAGTATTCAAAGTATGACATTTTCAGGAGATCAAATAGGATAACTAGTGTGTTCCAACAATGCCATAAAATCATAATAGGTACACTGATCAAATGATAGTTCAGTAAATCTCATAAACCATACTGTAGTGGAGCTTTTTAAACTCGTAGTTTAAAACCATCGTATAAAGAGTTAACCTAAGGGAACATCTTAGGGCCTGAGAGCCTACCCAAGAAAGTTAGGGGCCATGGGGCCTACCTAAGAACAAATCTTAGGGCCGCAAGGCCTACCCGAGAATGATCTCAGGGCCGCAGAGCCTACCTAAGAGTCACATTAGGTCCATAAAAATTTTCCAGCTTGACCAGAGTTGTACTTTACAAATCTGTATCTCCAAGATACAGTATATACAATGATACAAATCCATAAGCCATAACCGTTAAGTCGGTGCATCCATAAAACAATAACCATAGATTTCAGTGTACCACATGTTAAAACAATAAAACAATTTTTCAAAATATAAGGAACACACTAGAGAAATCCCAATATTTATCAGAGGCATTTTGTAGTTATCAGCATGAATAACAGAAAACTTATGAAATTTTATCTGATTCCAGGAACGAGTTCCTATTGAAGAGAATCGGCTACTAACCGATCTAATTAAACATTTAAGGTTGATACTTTAGAATCTTACTATGTTTTCATGTGCATCCGGAAATACTAGAGTGATTTGAGTCGAAAAAGAAGAAATGAATATTCAGGGCAATTACCATCCATGACAATCGATCGGATTATCAAACAACTTGAGCTGAACAACTCTCAGAACTGATGTCTGTCGACTAGTCAATTCATTACCCTTCCTGGTATTCACTCTATAATACCAACAATTCTTGTCAATAAATCATCTTTAGAATCATCGCTAAATATACTTTAAGGAATCAAACATGCATCCCTATAATCTTTGTTTTCTTTCAACATTACAAAAATATCAAGAATTGATGATGTATTTGATTCTTAGTCCATAACCATAAGGACCGTACATCATACAAGTTTATTGTATTTCCAAACTCATCCAATTAATACTAAATTCTCTGTCATTAAGGTTCCTTGGTTTATTTAGCAATTAATACTATCCCAGTTACTTCAAAGTTTTCCAGAGTAATTCATACACTTCTGAGTTTTGGATACATATTGTACCGTTCATTCACATTAGTCATATACTAAAAATCATTTTGTTATTCGTGGTTGATTTATCTCACGAATATTCACTTCTTAATATCAAATGCACTCTAGCGTTGAGCAGAGCTGAGTACTTCCATAATTAACATCAATCCAAACTTGAGGATAAGAACTAGTATTCAAGTGGTACCTATGTCATTCAAGTATTGATATAACACTAACATTGTTTGACCGGCTTAAATTGCGTTTCATAACATTAAAGAGCAGTACAACATCCATGTTTATTTGAATTTCTTAATTAATCCAAGACATTTACTTAGTATAGACCATAAGGGCATTTTGGTCATTTTGGTACTCAATGTTTTTCCATTCATTTCAAAGCTTGAGGATATCTATTCATTCCTGAACTTGGTGATATTCTTGAGTCATCTCCATTACAAGGGTATTTTGGTCATTTTATAGATCCCACTTATTTTAATCAGTTCATTCCCTTCGATCTTATTATTTAATTCAGACTTATCATCAATTCCTTTCTATACGAATCAATTCTGACAGAAGAGCACCTTCGATAATTTATTCTTCAGATATTTACTCATAACTCGAAGATTTCGAGTTAAAAGTCTTTTTAGACATTACTAATGAATTATTAGGAATTTTCCATACAAAAGTAGGATCTCAACCATTAAATCAGTAATTTATCGGTTTAAGAATAAATTCTCATGTTACTTTCTCATTCAGAGTCAACTTGGACTATTTTTACCTCTCAAGGGCATTTTCGTAATTTTTTAACTAGATAATTTTGATATTAACTCTTAATGAAAATAATTATACTTTAGAGATCTAATGGTTAATTGTTTTCCCGAACATTCTTTGATCTCAAAATGATTTCTTAACAGACTTCTAGTATTTTACATAATCTTTATTGGGTTAAAACCCAGTTATCTAAATTTTCTAAGCAAACTAGCATTTCTTATGCACATCTATAGTTTTCTCAGATCAATATATAATTTCAAAGTTATTAGTAAACTTCCAGGGACAATTCTTGTCATCCTACAATATAAGGGTATTTTTGTAATTTTACCCTATCAGAGTATTCTCATAATTTCTCATCCAAGTATCTTTAACATTTAACCTTTGATGATATAAAATATAAGTTACAAATCCATAGCTGATTTCTTTATCACTAATCACAAACTTGTAATTTAATTCTAACAATTCCTCAATCTCTTATATTAGTCATTCGATCCGTATTCAGTTACAGAATTTCTACCACATTCATATCGAGTGTATAAATTATTCAATTCACAAAAGTGATCAACATTATCTTATCCATGCATTTACCAATATCAACATGTTCCATAAAGCATAAAGAGGTAGTAAAGTATTACCTCGATTTTCTATGCCATACTGGTCGACCATTTAAATTCCATTCGAACGCCCTCGATCTTTGATTCAACTTCCAATATTTTCCTCTCGATCCAGACCATCAAAATTACTAACTCGTATCTAAATAATTTTCCTCGCCATAAAGATAGCTTATTAGAATTGAAATAATAATTTGGAAACCCAATTAGTTTAATAGAATACTTGTGGGGTTACTTTAATAATTAATCACTAAAAATTAGGGACTGAACCAAATCAATTTGCACTATTGAGCCATAAACTAAAACTAAAGGAAACTATGAGACAAGTCCAAGTTCTTACCAAGCTTTGAAGACTCATGATACGATTTCCCACTATATTTTTTTAAGGCACTTCCAACGTGATTTTCCTTTTGGGAATCATAACCCCATTTTGCAAGTAATTGGTGTGTGGGGCATTGGCACATAACCCACATGAAGTGTCTCTTTCATGCACCACTCTCAATTATTAAATCTAGTTGTATCCATGTTGCAATGAACCAAATACCAAAGCTATGGTTAACGGCAACCGCGAGTGCAATGAAGATGACAGCATCCTCTATGCATGTTACTTGTTGCATGGCCAGTTGAACCCACGGTTTTCTGCTCTCACTTTCCCCAGACTCTGCATCTCATTACAAAGACGCTCGGGTTTGGGGTTAATACTGAAAAGTCTCCGCTGCTTTGTGGACTTGGTAGAGGAGTCGGCGCCACCTCCTCAAAGCAGCAACAAAAGGTGGTACAATGGCCTCAAGATACCGTTTTCGAAGTGGCTTTATGTCCCTCCCAACAGCATTCCATACCTCAGAATAGAGAACACAAGACATTGCCAAAACTCGAATCTTAATTCAGGTGGCAGAGAAGGATCTAAGTTAACTCCGATTTAAAACTTGATAACTGCATTTTCGTTGGCAGGGGCCTCAGAATTCCAATTATGGGAATCAATTCTGCCGCAGTGAAGATGCTTGGAAGAAATAAAATCCAAACAATCATTCAATTTGCTTGTCTTAAACTTCACGAAGTGAAGCCTCCCACCAAGAACAATATAGCTTCTCCTGTTACCATTTAAAATACCCAATCTTTCCTTGACAGTTTTCTTCCTCTTATTCCTCCAACCCTTCTTTGTTTACAGCCACGTTCATGTTGTTATTATTATATTGAAGTCTCTCTATCTTATCTCCAACTTCAATATTAAGATATCCTCAAGTTGTGGTTCCAAATATTTAAAATAAATTATTAATAGAAAAATCTTTTATTTTCAATCTCCGTAATCATTCATTCACTCCCCCATTATCATGAAATATATAAAAACAAATCAACCCCATGTATTCAATATATCACTCATCCATTATCTTTATATATATATATATATATATATATATATAAACAAATCAATCCATTTATTTAATCAATCACTCATCCAACAATTTGTCCACGTTCAACCTAACTCATTATCTTCAATTTGTTTAATAACTTAATGGCCTAATAAAATAATTATTAGCCAACCAAACATCATATTATTTCATATATTTAAACTAAAAGAAATCTAACCCCATATTGGGGTGTGACAGTTGGGAAAAGTAGACTTGCTTTCCATATTAATAATAATTATGGATTTTGAGTCTGCAACTGATTGTATCAGTACTGACATTGAACATGTGAATGGTTATTCATTGGGACTTCATATTGTTGAAATTAATAAAATTTGTATTTTGAAGTGTGTTTTGAATTATTCAACATGGGTAGAATATAAATTATTGTCAAATTAATG